CGCCGCAGCGTCTCGACGGGCAGCAGCAGCGACAGCCTGAGGGCACCGGCACCCATGGCCGCTCCTGCAGCCCCCCCGGCCTCGGCCACAGCACCCGTCACCCAACCCAGGCCAACCGGCCCTGCTGTCCATCCCAATCAGTCCCCAACACCCATCACCAAACCCAGCCCAAACAACCCAATCTCTGCTCAACCAACCCCCCCAACACCCACCACCAAAGTCAACCCAACTGGTCCCACTGTCCACCCCAACCTCTACCCAACCAGCCCCCAACACCCATCACCAAAGTCAACCCAACCAGCCCTGTGAGTCAACTCAACCTCTGCCCCAACACCCATCACTAAACCCAACCCAACTGGCCCCATTGCCCACCCCAACCAGTCCCCACAGAATCCATCATCAAACCCAACCAGATCCCAGCATCCATCACCTCAACTCTACCCAACCAGCCCGACTACCCAACCCTGCATCTCCTCCCAACAACGCTGCCCCAACACCCATCACCCCAACCCAACTGGTCCCACTGTCCAACCCCAAAACCCCCCCACCCCCCAACCAGTCCCACCACCCAACCTGCCACCCCCCATCCCGACAGCCCCCCACCCAACCCCAACCTCTTGAGCGCCCCCATCCTTCCCATATCCCAACACCTTCCCCCCGCCTCCCACTCCATGCCCTGCCCTCCTCGCCACCCCATTCCCCCTCCCCAGTACCCCACGTGGTAGGTGCCCTCCTGCTGCCCGAACACGCTGCCTGGGGCCAGCACGATGCCCGTTGCCTCCAGCAGCTTCTGGCAGAAGAAGAAGTCGGGCTCCAGGCCCTGCGCCTGGGGATAGGGGACCAGCAATGGTCACCCCGTGTTCCCATGACCCCCTCCCACCCTGCCACAGGGCATCCTGCATCCCCACAGCATCCAACAACCCCAGGTGTCCCCATGTCCCGGGGCATCCTGCATCCCCGCAGCATCCTGCACCCCCAGGTGTCACCCCATGTCATGGGACACCCTGTGTCCCCCAGCAGCCCATGCTCCAGGTGTCCCCACCTCCCCCCATGCCACGGGGCATCCCGCACCCCTCCAGCATCCCGCGCCCCCCGTGTCCCCATGCCCCCGTGTCACCCGGGCCTGTCG